TAGTATTGTATTAGTTTTGAATATTTCTCATGGGCATTTAATAATTTTTTACTTTCAGTCTGACGTAAATCTCTTTTTTGGCTCATTTTATCTGTAAAAGAACATCTGCTTAATAATTATGCACACCTGAATATAAGACATTTTTCACTTCAGCCTTCAGCCTTCATGAATAATTATATATCAATTATAAATTATTAAATACAAGATTAATAGTAGTTATTAAGATTGATGTCGTTTGGAATTGGTAAAATGTGCTTGGAAAAAAATATGATCAGAATATCAACTTGCATAATAATTATGCATGCACTGTATTTTCCCTCTTCTGCTGTCGAGGTAATGCAAGAAATGTTGTGATTGGTTGTCAAGGCAGCCAATCAGAATTTAGCAGCCTCGGTCTCTGATTGGCTGGAATTATGGCATATTGTAATGCTGGGTTGTGTTGAGCACGCGAGCTGTTGGCATTTAGAGAGCACTGAGGGCGGGCATCAGGTGAGCAAGCTAGTGAAACGTTGCACGCGCAAAAGAGAAGGTCTGCACATATCCAAAAACTTATTTTAAATGCAAAATTGATTTTCGTGAGCTCGAAATACTTTCTTCTTTGCGAGACAAACATTTTCTACACAAAACTCAGTTCGCGCGCGTGCAAAACGCACTTTTTTTCAGAATTTCGGCAGAAATGTAATTCCATAACAGTCCACCATACTATTCGGGCGTACAATAGTCCACTAAAATACAAAACAAATCTTGAGCTGTCTGTGGCTGTTTGATTGATTCGGCTTTCCAGTGCCCCCTGGCGGAAGACAACTAATTTCTTATTATAAAACGGTAACCTGTTGCCTATTGCGATTTCTGATCCCGCTTGTGGTTGAATAACATTACATGTGTACCTAGTGTAGTAGCTACCTGTTGATTTTTATAGTTCCATTCTTTCTTTCTTTCTTTGTCTCTCTGTCTGTCTCTGAAATGTCTCCTTTTTGCAGCACGTTCAAAACACTCCTAAAATACATTGCAAAAAGCTCTACCAATGGCCTGCTGGTTAGCAGTAAGACTTGCAGTGATTCTGAGGTTTGTTCTGTTTAGGAACAATCCTCAGAGTGTCACCTTTCAGAAGAGACTAAAACCATGCATATACTCCAAATGGTTCAAGAACAGCATGCAATTAACTTTGGGTATGCCTTTTGTAGGCATTTTAGGCAAATTTTACAGGAATTCTAAGGGGTTAAACATCCACGAAAGTTCACAACGCAGTAGACTATTCATCCAACGACCCATTTCTGATATAAATGGGTCAGATATAAAATAACATTTCAAAAGTTTAAAAAGTTGTAATTATTGTGTACAATATATTCACAGAGAAATAAAAATATTAAATACAATAGAGTTTATCAAATGTTTTATTGTCTAATTTATTTTTGTAAGATGGTTTTGTAAAGTTATAGTTTTGTTATGATACTGTTCTGCAATGTTTTTTTTTGTTTGTTTGTTTGTTTGTTTTGTGGTGAATTGTATTAAAACCATTTAGGGTCCGTTTGACTCTCATAATTATTCATTATAATAATGGTATTTGGAACCCACAACAGTTTAAAACAAAAATATAATTACAAAAATACAAAAATTAATTGTCCATGTTTCTTTCTTTTTTGTTATTAATAGGCACTAATTCAGATTTCAATGATATTTTACTGAACTAGAAAATGTCCCCAGTTTACATTTCAGAAATCTGGTCACCTGAAATAAAGTCTTCACAATCAGAATAAGTTCATCTTTAAAAGTAATTTCAAAGAACATGACCAAAAAAAAGAGGTAAAATTTGCATAACATTCATTCTCCATTGACAGTCAGTGGAGAATTATTAAATGGCAACATTGGAGAATTACTATACACCTGCTGTTACAACTGTACAAATTAAATTTAGTCCAGCATTGGAGTTAATAAGATATGTGAGTTTTAGGTTGGCCATGTTTGTAATACCATACTTCTCATCCTATTTTCAAACTACTGTACTATAGACAGTATGTAGGTACCATATGCAGATTTAATTGTGCAGTACAGAATCAGAGAACACTTCATAAAAATAAATAAATTCAATACAGGAATAAAATAAATATTGTATACTATACACTACACAATGATTACCTAAGAAGACTGTGCTGGAATATGCCTACTTCCATACTATAAAGTATGTGAAAAATGAATGTAAAAAAAGAGTTGCATGTCCGAATTCATAGTATTCGAAAAACAGTGGGTGAAAAGTACCAGGATGACCTACTACTTGCACTTAGATTCTGAAGTGCATATTTGATAGACACTTTACTATCCCATGAGGCCACAGGAGAGGATTTGTGAATGGCAGTGAAGTGACACAACTGATGCCGGTAAGTCACATGACAGTAACAACATGGTGGATGTAGTACATCCAAATTCCATTGCTACAACACACATTCTTACTATATAGAACATAATTTTCAACAGTTGCAAAGTAAATTTCAAACTAAATATAGTACATACTAGATAGTATGCCATTTCAGACACAGCTATAGTTGAACAAAATTTTGGAAATGCACTGGAATGACTTATGAGAGCCTTATTTTATGGACTGTGATGGGAGCAGCACTGTAGGTGCTTTCCTGTGCAATAACAGTCATGTGAAGTGAAATAAACAGCTGTTGATAGCTGTCTCCAACATGCTGCCCCATGACACTGTAATAATGTGTTTACCAACATGAACCAGTTATATTGGTATCATTCAGTCCATTCCAGTAAAGGACATTCCATCTGTGATCAGGCATTTGAAGTTAATTTTTGACTTGAGATTGTTCAAAACGGGGTTTGGGAGTTGCTGTTCATCTAAACTCTGCAGCTATGGACTCAAGATCGGTGTTTGTCTTATTATGGATGTTGCTGTTGTCCACCTCCACTGGAATCAAACTAGATGGAAATGGATATGTTGACGTTATAATCGCAATCGGTTCAAAAGTTCCACAGGATGACAGACTAATTGATAAAATCAAGGTGAACATGCTTTTTTTTTTCTATTTAACGAACTATATGTGCATTATTGGTTTGAATGGCTTTAGAAGATTTTGCTATTCAAATTTAAATTGAAAAAAAAAAATAACTGACAGAAATATACAGTATTTTTGTTGCCGGTATTTAAAGTAAAGCATAATTACTTGTCTAATAATTACTTATCGTTTAATTTTCCTTCTGACAGGACATGGTCACTGAAGGGTCAGTTTATCTTTATGAAGCATTGGATAAAAAGGTCTATTTCAAAGAAGCTACAATACTAGTCCCATCCCACTGGAGTTGTAAGAATGTTACCAAAGCAAGAACAGAGTCATTTGATAAAGTACTGAGCATTATTGGATTTAATTTAGTAAAATATTAATTTCCAGTCACTTCATTCATATATGATGTTGTTGACACTTTCTCTGTGAAATTCAGGCAAAAATAAGAATTGATAATGCTAATTCAACCTACGGTGATCAGCCCTACACTAAACAGTATGGAGAATGTGGAACTATGGCAGAGTACATTCATTTCACCCCAGAATACCTCCTGAATGACACAGTCATCCAGCTTTACGGATTAAGAGGTGAATGTCGTTTATCTACCTTCAACATTTATACATTTATTATGAAATGATAAGAGGTTTAAAGTTCTATTAATACAGTAGTCTGTTTATTTTATTAGCTGTTTGCTTGTTTGTTTGCAGGAAGGGTCTTTGTGCATGAATGGGCTCATCTGAGATGGGGTGTTTATGATGAATACAGTGAAGAAATGCCATTCTACTACTCTAATGGCCGTATTGAAGCTACAAGGTTATAAACTGTTAATAAAAGATAAAGAATCTTACTGAAATGTCCTTAGAAATTAGAATTACTATTGATGTCTTGCTTATCTTTAGGTGTAGCAAAAATATTGAAGGTCAGTTTTATGAGGTTACTGCTGAAAGATCTCTTCAAGCATGCCGTAATGATCCACAAACTTCACTACCAACCGACAAGTGCAAGTTTTTTCCAAACATAAATAAAAAAACAAACAGCTCCTTAATGTTCCTACCAAGCCTGGATTCTGTAAGTACTGAGTTTACATGTTTCCACACATTCCACAAAATTATTTTGATAACTGGTAAATGAATATATTGCCTGGGCCAAAGGGGCCACGGATTGTTTTCTTCTATGCAATATAATTTCCAACAGCTTCTTGATAAGTCACATTTGTTAATCTATTAGGGTTTTTTTTTCTTTATTAACTCCCTGCTTGGGTCTCATAGAGCCATAATCCGTCCTTGAGTGTTTGGTGAAATATCTGCAATTATGCAGGGAATTTTGGTTTCAGGTGAGCAAATTTTGTCGTAAAAACGAGCACAATTATGAAGCCCCAAACCTGCAAAATAAAAAATGTGGCAAAGCGACATGGACCGTAATATTTGAGGATTCTGTGGATAAAGATGCACTTCGTTCTCTGAAACCACTGCAGTCCCCTCCGCCACCACCATCTTTCAAAGTTGTGCAGAGGACACAACGGGTCGTTTGTCTCATCCTTGATGTCTCAGGAAGCATGGCAGTATGTAATAACAGACATTAACTTCATCTGAAAACAAAGATGCTACTATGATAACCTTTTTGTGTTACCAATGCTTTGAAATGAAAAATAATTTGTAGCAAGAGGAAACAAATTTGTTTTTTTTATTCACCTATTTTCTAGGGTGCTAGAATTCTTCAACAGCGACAGGCTGCCACACATTTCCTGCGGTACATCATTGAGGATCAAGCCAGGGTTGGAATTGTAACCTTTAGTACTGATGCTTCTACTCTGCGATCCTTGACTATTATTGACAGTAACAATGCTCGAGAGACTCTTGTCCAATTGTTACCAAAAGTAGCAGCTGGATCAACAAACATGTGTTTGGGCCTTAGTCGAGGCTTACAGGTGCCATATTAATTGTACTTGTATGTGTCTTTTATGTTTGTGATGTATGAAGTATATAGAGTTTGTTTTATGTCAGTGATCCTTTTTTCTTCAAATCCATCAGGTGCTTCAAGAGGACAATGGGGATGTATTAGGAGATGAAATCATTTTTCTGACAGATGGTCAGGCAACGGACAACATTGCTGGTTGTGCTCCATCTGCAATACAAAGTGGTGCCATTATAAGCACAATAGCTTTTAGTAAAAGTGCAGCTCAGGCACTGACAGAAATGGCGAACAAAACTGGTAAGTGATATCAGCACAATTCACCCTTCGCAGAGAGTTTGATTGACAGGCGATCTGACCAATCATAATGCAGACAGGAGAGTTAGTAACGTCAGTGGACTTAACTTTGAAAAATAGTGTGAATCGTCGGTTTTCTGTGGTTGAAACAACATACCTTCTGATGTTGATTCATGTTTATTTGGTGCTGTAAGTAAAGAGGAAGAGATGATTGGTTCCGCTTGAACTGAGGTGCTACAGCGATTTGTCACATTAAAGAGCCAAAAAAATGGTAATTATAGTTTGAATTTCTTAAGAAATTACAACATTTTAAAGCTGAGACTTTGGTTACGTTTCAAGTAACCAGCTCTGTCTGTCGGCACGTCCTCAGTGTCCTCTTTGCTCCGCAATATATTTTTCACTGTGTTAGAACATGATGTGTGGCATGAGTGCGCCATGGCTTGTTGGGCATAGCAACAGTAACTACGGGGGGCGGGTCTTTGCAAAGGGTCAATTAATAACTTACTGTATCTGTGTTAGTGTATGTCATAAATAAAAAATGCTAGTTTGCTTTCCAATGAAAAATTGTTCCATGTTGAAAATAGGGGGGATATTTCTCATAGCCAAAGCTGACATGATCTCCAACCAGTTAATGGATGCGTTTGCTTCGCTTACATTATCAACTGGTGATTACACAAACGAACCAGTTCAGGTTTGTCAAGGTTTCGCTTATTGCACATGATACATTTATTACTATTGAGTGTCATCAATATTATGAGTATTTCATCATTGAATTTTTCTTATTCCTTTAGCTAGAGAGTGTTGGAAAAAGAACATCTGATTGGTTTAATGGAACAGTATCAGTGGATCAGACTGTTGGGAACAAAACCAGCTTTGTAATAATCTATGAAATACGTTTTCCTAGCGTTTACATACAATCACCAAGTGGCTCAATCTACACTCAGACAAGTATGAGTCATGATGGTTCTCTGAAAACAGTCACTTTAAACATTCCAGGAACTGCAGAGGTATGATGACCTTTATGAATCAATTAATCATTTTAAGTTTATACTGTAGTTCAGACCATAAACTTGAAAAAAATGATCGTTACACAATAAAAGGCATCTTGGCCAAGAGTTTTAGATAAATGTTATTCAAATATGTTTAACAATAACTTGTTTGCTATTCATATATGTTTAACAAAGAAGGAGTTCACTAATAATAACTAACAGTTTAGCTAAACTAATTACACTTAAATTATACACTCATAGCAAACCCTTATTGATCTGCTTTTACTTCTGTGTTTGGTAGCCTGGGGACTGGAAGTACAGTATCCAAACTACCTCAAATCAGGCTTTCACTATAACAGTAACGAGTCAAGCGTCGCGTGATGATGTTCCTCCTATTATTGTCAAAACCCACATGAACCAGCAGTTCAATGACGGCTCTAAACCCATGATAGTGTTTGCTGAGGTTAGTCAGAATTACAGGCCTGTAATAAATGCTGAAGTGTGGGCTACACTGGAGTCGGAAACTGGGTCCGTACATACATTACAACTCCTGGACAATGGAGCAGGTAAATGACCCATAAGTGTGCACTCAGCTTAAAATATAAAGAAAGAAAAAAGAAAGAGTAAGGTACTTTTCCAAACTGTGCCAAACAAATCAGAAATCCATCTTTTACAGGAGCTGATACTTTTCAAGATGACGGAATCTATTCCAGATATTTCACAAAGATTGTTAATGGGAGAAGCAGCTTGAAAGTAAGAATGAAGAATCAAGGTGGACAAACCAGATTTGCTGTCCAAAAAAAGAGTGGTGCCCCATACGTACCCGGATATGTGGTAAACGGTAAACCCTGAGATCAATATTGGTCTGTTTTAAAATACATTTAAACTTAATCACATCTAAAAAGGGAAAAAATGAACTAATATTCAGACCAGCACTACATCTGTGAATGTAATATTGCTTTTATTCAGCAGATCATTAAAAAATTATATTGAGTAAGTTAAGTTTTAGAAACACGCCAGTCACATTATATTTTTGTCAGCAACAATAGTTCAGAACGAAGTCAAAGCCGAATTACACATAAAGCCACTTGTTTTTTTCATGAATTAATCAGTTTTTGAACTGATCTGCTGAGTGAGTGAGTGAGTGAATGAGTGAATGATTGAGTGAATGATGATGAGTTGCATTTTACCTTAAGCATCCTGAGACGTGGACTTCACGGTGTATTCTGTTCAGTTGAGACTCTGGAATTATTGAGTTTAACCAGTTCAAATTGTGGTTTGTATGCTGCTGTTCACAGGTATAAAGTGCACAAGACACAAAATCACAATGCAGCTATTATTTTTTTATTATGATTGAATAAGATCACAATAATAATGCACATCTAATATAACCAAATTGCATTTATTTTCATATTAATCATTGCAACAGACATTTATCACTTAGCTTACTGCTTTCAAACATGACAATTTATATTAAATATAATTAATACACAGGTATGGTCATTTATATTATTATTATTATTCACATAATATATTATATATACAAGTATATTATGACTTAATTATGTCTTTGATGACTTTGCACAGTGATTCACTGAATCAATGCACAAACTTGGACTAAATGGCAATAATTAGCTATAAAGCTGTTTGGAGAAAACAATTCAGACAGAAGTCAAGCAAGTGGTTCTCAAACATTTTCTTAACCAATTCACTTGAGATGTACTCAAGTGGTTCCTCTAATTTCAGGTGTAGTGCAGCTGAACCCTCTAAAGCCTCCAGTTTCTGAGGAACCACTTGAGGTTGGAAGCTTCACCAGAACAGCCACCGGAGAGAGTTTTGTGGTGAAACTTTCAAGCACAACTCCACCAACCTTCCCTCCTAACAGAATCACAGATCTGAGTGCTGAGCTCCAGGAGGACACTGTGTTTCTCAGCTGGACAGCACCTGGTGAGGACCTCGACCAAGGCACAGGTAAAATACCGGTATACAATTACTAAACCAGTATTTAAAATGCAAGATTTTTAATTTCTTTAACATCTTCACTGACAAAATAGAAGTTGTTTTAAAGTTACGTCATGAAATAATGTATCTTTAATTGTCTTGCATGTGTAGAAAATAAAAATTAAATTAAGTGATGTAATGTCACCTAACATTTCTCAATCACTATCAGAAACATAACAATAACTTTGATGATTATTTAACAGTGTTACAGATGTTAACAAGAGGACAATATGTGCCAACCCTATTCAGTGTATATGTTGTGACATTATTATGTAAAAGTGATATTAAAAATTTAGTCTATAGAGACTGATGAATATGGAAGAACACAACTGAATCTTAAAAATGGTCCTTTATTTTGTTGAATTTATACTTTTGGTTGTCTTCACAAGTCATGTATTTTGATGAAAGTGGGCTCCTCTAGTCTCAGGTGGGTAACACATGGTACGTTTCTTTTCCTTTAAGCTAAATCCTATGAGATCAGGTGGAGCTTTGACCTTGATATGCTTCGAAACAGCTTCAGCAACGGTCATGTAGTCAACACAGCTGCCGTCTCACCTCAGGAGGCTGGATCAGATGAACAACATTCATTCAATCTCAGTTTCCCAATCCAAAATGGGACCACACTCTTCTTTGCGGTTCAGTCAGAGGATGAACAAAATGCAACATCTGAAACCTCCAACATTGCTCAAGCTTCAAAGATCCTCCCTGGTCCAAAAGCCCCAGGAGTATCAAACCCAGGCATGAATTTGACAGTTATTGTGATTTCTGTGTGTGTGGTAACTATGGTCATATGCTTTATTGTAGCTGTATCCACATGGGCAGTGAGACGCAGGAATCTCTCTGTCTAAAGCAACAAATGACATCAACAATCTGATGCAAACAAATGTCAAATCAAGCCTTATGCCTACTTTGAACATATACATGCAATAGCTTTAAAACATTTCTTAAAACAATTATTTAATTCAAACAGAATTCCTTGGTTTCTGACTTTTTTTTTTTCTTTTTTTCAAGTACATGTCTAATGCTGCCGCCTCATATCATTTTCATTTATGATAGATTCTCAATCAACTGATTTAGCTTCCTCTGAAATGTGAGCACTTTTAAATACAAGTCAATAAAACATTTCTGTACCACAATAGGCATGTATTAAATTTGCATTGTGGTGATTAGAAACACTGTTTGGTTAATTTGTTCTTTGGATTTCCATATTTAATTCTGTACGATGCAGATAAATCCCTAATCGTTTGTAATATGTGAATGTTTAAAAATATATATTGAAATAATAATAAATAAAACTGTTATATAACAAGCTGTTTGTATTGATGGAGTTTGTTGTTGTAGTTATATAAACATAAGGGGGAGCCATTGTGATGTTTTACATTCATCAGTCACAGATGAGCAGCTCCAACAATCTGCTTCCCCGTTTTTAATTCTTTAATGAAATGTACATTAGAATGATTAGAATGAACCAGACCATTGTTTACATGTGTTTTAATTTATTAGTGAATGGCAAAATAACTGCATCACTTGCATCACTAGTTTGTTGAAATTATAAAATACTACTTTGCTTCCTGAAAAGACAAATGGAAATCCTTAAAGGAATAGTTCACCCAAAAATGAAGATTTCACTTCACAAGATGTTAATTGATAGACTGGAGTCGTGTGGGTTATGCGTGAATTATTGTAATGTTTTTATCAGCTGTTTGGATTCTCATTCTGACGGCACTCATTCACTGCAGAGGATCCATTGATGAGCAAGTGATGTAATGCAAATTTGTTTCAAATCTTCATCTGTTCCGATGAAGAAGCAAACTCATCTACATTTTGATGGCCTGCTTTGGGTGAACTATTCCTTTAAAATCACTAGACTTGCATCATCAGTCCATAACAGCAGGGGAGTGACTTAGACTAATAGTCCCTGATGTTTTTTGTTTGTTTCTTTTCACTAGAACCTTTTGTTTCTTTTTGAAAATGTAGTGGCAATTGGATTCAATGTGCAATGGCTGTAATGTTACGCAAATATTACATGTTGAGCTTGTATTAAGGAGCATATTTTTGTGTATTTTAAAACTCAATTACTCACTTCTTTCGGTACTCTCGTGAATGTAGGTTATACAGGGTGACCGTAACTTTATTTTCTCACTTTGAACCTTGTCATGGCAATAATGATAAGGACAGCTCCAAGAAAAATGATAGCGTTTAACATTAAATTGTATAGTTGTTTTCAAGTGCTATGCTATAACTTCTGTAGTATACACACATTTAACCTGTGATGGTGGCGAGACAATAAACACCTTGAAGGGTTCATTTCCTGTTTTCCATTCGCTCTTTGAGCACATACTGTATCAATATGCTGCAACAGGACATATACAGGCCTGCTCTAAACAGTGTACTGTAGTTGCACTAAGCACCCTAATTAAGAGTTAGAATAAATTTCATGCCAACCCTGAAACAACATACAGAACTACCAAACTTTGCTATAAGTTTGATTGCATCATATAATAATTGCTGTTAATAGTGTTCATCGTCTGTTTGATTACGTCTTTAATTGATTTTTCCGTACATTTCTGCCATATGTACATTAACTGACAGTCACCACTGATAAGCTACCACTAAACATTGTAGAAACTTAATTTTCTGTAAAGTTGCTTTGGAACGATTTGCATCGTAAAAAGCGCTATACAAATAAACTTGAATTTAATTGAATTGAATTGAATTTTTTCAAATGTACCAGCCTTGTGTTCAAATTTAACAGGGCTTTAAATAAGTTGAATGCATAGTTTTACTATGAAAAGAGTCAGGTTACAGTACACTGATGAGCCACAACACTGAAACTGCTGACAGGTATAACATCAAATATACAATAATGAATGACATTGATCATATCCTAACAATACCACCTGTCACGGGGGTGGGTGGGGGGTGTATAGTAGGCAGCAAGTGAACAGTCATCTTGTGAATTTCACGTGTTCAAAGCAGGAAAAATGGGCTAGTGAAAGGTCTGAGTGACTTTGACGAGGGCCAAATAGCAATGGCCAGACTACTGGGTCAGAGCATCTCCAAAACGGTAAGTTTTGTGGAGTGTAATTCCCTGTATGCAGTGGTTAGTACCAAAAGTGGTGCGAAGAAGGACAACCGGTGAACCGGCATCAGGGTCATGAGTGCCAAAGACTCATTGATCCATGTGGGGAGAGATCATGAGCCTGTCTGGTCTGAATCACACAGAATAGCTTCCATAGTTGAAATTGCTGAAAAACTTCATGCTGGCCATGATAGCAAAGTGTCAGAATACAGAGTGCATTGCAGTTTGCTGCATATGGGGCTGTGTAGCTGCAGATCTGTCAAAGTGCCCATGATGACTCCTGCCCACCTCCAAAAGCAACTATGTTGGGCACATGAGCATCACAACTGGACCATGGAGCATTGGAAGAACGTTGCCTGGTCTGATGAATCAGTTTTCTTTTAGATCAGGTGGATGGCCAGGTGTGTGTTCGTCATTGACCTAGAGACCTAAGAGCTGGCACCAGATGCACTCTGCAAAGAAGGATGGTCGGCTGAGGCAGTGTTATGCTCTGTTCTGCTGGGAAATGTTGGGTCCAATCACGTGGATGTTACTTTGACACGCACCACCTACCTAAAGATTGTTGCAGACCATGTACACCCCTTCATGCCAGTGGGTTTCTGATGGCAGTGGTCAGCAACGGTCATGTAGTCAACACAGCTGCCGTCTCACCTCAGGAGGCTGGATCAGATGAACAACATTCATTCAATCTCAGTTTCCCAATCCAAAATGGGACCACACTCTTCTTTGCGGTTCAGTCAGAGGATGAACAAAATGCAACATCTGAAACCTCCAACATTGCTCAAGCTTCAAAGATCCTCCCTGGTACAAAAGCCCCAGGAGTATCAAACCCAGGCATGAATTTGACAGTTATTGTGATTTCTGTGTGTGTGGTAACTATGGTCATATGCTTTATTGTAGCTGTATCCACATGGGCAGTGAGACGCAGGAATCTCTCTGTCTAAAGCAACAAATGACATCAACAATCTGATGCAAACAAATGTCAAATCAAGCCTTATGCCTACTTTGAACATATACATGCAACAGCTTTAAAACATTTCTTAAAACAATTATTTAATTCAAACAGAATTCCTTGGTTTCTGACTTTTTTTTTTTTCTTTTTTTCAAGTACATGTCTAATGCTGCCGCCTCATATCATTTTCATTTATGATAGATTCTCAATCAACTGATTTAGCTTCCTCTGAAATGTGAGCACTTTTAAATACAAGTCAATAAAACATTTCTGTACCACAATAGGCATGTATTAAATTTGCATTGTGGTGATTAGAAACACTGTTTGGTTAATTTGTTCTTTGGATTTCCATATTTAATTCTGTACGATGCAGATAAATCCCTAATCGTTTGTAATATGTGAATGTTTAAAAATATATATTGAAATAATAATAAATAAAACTGTTATATAACAAGCTGTTTGTATTGATGGAGTTTGTTGTTGTAGTTATATAAACATAAGGGGGAGCCATTGTGATGTTTTACATTCGGTTTGGAGAAAACAATTCAGACAGAAGTCAAGCAAGTGGTTCTCAAACATTTTCTTAACCAATTCACTTGAGATGTACTCAAGTGGTTCCTCTAATTTCAGGTGTAGTGCAGCTGAACCCTCTAAAGCCTCCAGTTTCTGAGGAACCACTTGAGGTTGGAAGCTTCACCAGAACAGCCACCGGAGAGAGTTTTGTGGTGAAACTTTCAAGCACAACTCCACCAACCTTCCCTCCTAACAGAATCACAGATCTGAGTGCTGAGCTCCAGGAGGACACTGTGTTTCTCAGCTGGACAGCACCTGGTGAGGACCTCGACCAAGGCACAGGTAAAATACCGGTATACAATTACTAAACCAGTATTTAAAATGCAAGATTTTTAATTTCTTTAACATCTTCACTGACAAAATAGAAGTTGTTTTAAAGTTACGTCATGAAATAATGTATCTTTAATTGTCTTGCATGTGTAGAAAATAAAAATTAAATTAAGTGATGTAATGTCACCTAACATTTCTCAATCACTATCAGAAACATAACAATAACTTTGATGATTATTTAACAGTGTTACAGATGTTAACAAGAGGACAATATGTGCCAACCCTATTCAGTGTATATGTTGTGACATTATTATGTAAAAGTGATATTAAAAATTTAGTCTATAGAGACTGATGAATATGGAAGAACACAACTGAATCTTAAAAATGGTCCTTTATTTTGTTGAATTTATACTTTTGGTTGTCTTCACAAGTCATGTATTTTGATGAAAGTGGGCTCCTCTAGTCTCAGGTGGGTAACACATGGTACGTTTCTTTTCCTTTAAGCTAAATCCTATGAGATCAGGTGGAGCTTTGACCTTGATATGCTTCGAAACAGCTTCAGCAACGGTCATGTAGTCAACACAGCTGCCGTCTCACCTCAGGAGGCTGGATCAGATGAACAACATTCATTCAATCTCAGTTTCCCAATCCAAAATGGGACCACACTCTTCTTTGCGGTTCAGTCAGAGGATGAACAAAATGCAACATCTGAAACCTCCAACATTGCTCAAGCTTCAAAGATCCTCCCTGGTCCAAAAGCCCCAGGAGTATCAAACCCAGGCATGAATTTGACAGTTATTGTGATTTCTGTGTGTGTGGTAACTATGGTCATATGCTTTATTGTAGCTGTATCCACATGGGCAGTGAGACGCAGGAATCTCTCTGTCTAAAGCAACAAATGACATCAACAATCTGATGCAAACAAATGTCAAATCAAGCCTTATGCCTACTTTGAACATATACATGCAATAGCTTTAAAACATTTCTTAAAACAATTATTTAATTCAAACAGAATTCCTTGGTTTCTGACTTTTTTTTTTTCTTTTTTTCAAGTACATGTCTAATGCTGCCGCCTCATATCATTTTCATTTATGATAGATTCTCAATCAACTGATTTAGCTTCCTCTGAAATGTGAGCACTTTTAAAAACAAGTCAATAAAACATTTCTGTACCACAATAGGCATGTATTAAATTTGCATTGTGGTGATTAGAAACACTGTTTGGTTAATTTGTTCTTTGGATTTCCATATTTAATTCTGTACGATGCAGATAAATCCCTAATCGTTTGTAATATGTGAATGTTTAAAAATATATATTGAAATAATAATAAATAAAACTGTTATATAACAAGCTGTTTGTATTGATGGAGTTTGTTGTTGTAGTTATATAAACATAAGGGGGAGCCATTGTGATGTTTTACATTCATCAGTCACAGATGAGCAGCTCCAACAATCTGCTTCCCCGTTTTTAATTCTTTAATGAAATGTACATTAGAATGAAGACATAGACCCAGACCATTGTTTACATGTGTTTTAATTTATTAGTGAATGGCAAAATAACTGCATCACTATGAAGCAGTGTTTGTTGAAATTATAAAATACTACTTTGCTTCCTGAAAAGACAAATGGAAATCCTTAAAGGAATAGTTCACCCAAAAATGAAGATTTCACTTCACAAGATGTTAATTGATAGACTGGAGTCGTGTGGGTTATGCGTGAATTATTGTAATGTTTTTATCAGCTGTTTGGATTCTCATTCTGACGGCACTCATTCACTGCAGAGGATCCATTGATGAGCAAGTGATGTAATGCAAATTTGATTCAAATCTTCATCTGTTCCGATGAAGAAGCAAACTCATCTACATTTTGATGGCCTGCTTTGGGTGAACTATTCCTTTAAAATCACTAGACTTGCATCATCAGTCCATAACAGCAGGGGAGTGACTTAGACTAATAGTCCCTGATGTTTTTTGTTTGTTTCTTTTCACTAGAACCTTTTGTTTCTTTTTGAAAATGTAGTGGCAATTGGATTCAATGTGCAATGGCTGTAATGTTACGCAAATATTACATGTTGAGCTTGTATTAAGGAGCATATTTTTGTGTATTTTAAAACTCAATTACTCACTTCTTTCGGTACTCTCGTGAATGTAGGTTATACAGGGTGACCGTAACTTTATTTTCTCACTTTGAACCTTGTCATGGCAATAATGATAAGGACAGCTCCAAGAAAAATGATAGAGTTTAACATTAAATTGTATAGTTGTTTTCAAGTGCTATGCTATAACTTCTGTAGTATACACACATTTAACCTGTGATGGTGGCGAGACAATAAACACCTTGAAGGGTTCATTTCCTGTTTTCCATTCGCTCTTTGAGCACATACTGTATCAATATGCTGCAACAGGACATATACAGGCCTGCTCTAAACAGTGTACTGTAGTTGCACTAAGCACCCTAATTAAGAGTTAGAATAAATTTCATGCCAACCCTGAAACAACATACAGAACTACCAAACTTTGCTATAAGTTTGATTGCATCATATAATAATTGCTGTTAATAGTGTTCATCGTCTGTTTGATTACGTCTTTAATTGATTTTTCCGTACATTTCTGCCATATGTACATTAACTGACAGTCACCACTGATAAGCTACCACTAAACATTGTAGAAACTTAATTTTCTGTAAAGTTGCTTTGGAACGATTTGCATCGTAAAAAGCGCTATACAAATAAACTTGAATTTAATTGAATTGAATTGAATTTTTTCAAATGTACCAGCCTTGTGTTCAAATTTAACAGGGCTTTAAATAAGTTGAATGCATAGTTTTACTATGAAAAGAGTCAGGTTACAGTACACTGATGAGCCACAACACTGAAACTGCTGACAGGTATAACATCAAATATACAATAATGAATGACATTGATCATATCCTAACAATACCACCTGTCACGGGGGTGGGTGGGGGGTGTATAGTAGGCAGCAAGTGAACAGTCATCTTGTGAATTTCACGTGTTCAAAGCAGGAAAAATGGGCTAGTGAAAGGTCTGAGTGACTTTGACGAGGGCCAAATAGCAATGGCCAGACTACTGGGTCAGAGCATCTCCAAAACGGTAAGTTTTGTGGAGTGTAATTCCCTGTATGCAGTGGTTAGTACCAAAAGTGGTGCGAAGAAGGACAACCGGTGAACCGGCATCAGGGTCATGAGTGCCAAAGACTCATTGATCCATGTGGGGAGAGATCATGAGCCTGTCTGGTCTGAATCACACAGAATAGCTTCCATAGTTGAAATTGCTGAAAAACTTCATGCTGGCCATGATAGCAAAGTGTCAGAATACAGAGTGCATTGCAGTTTGCTGCATATGGGGCTGTGTAGCTGCAGATCTGTCAAAGTGCCCATGATGACTCCTGCCCACCTCCAAAAGCAACTATGTTGGGCACATGAGCATCACAACTGGACCATGGAGCATTGGAAGAACGTTGCCTGGTCTGATGAATCAGTTTTCTTTTAGATCAGGTGGATGGCCAGGTGTGTGTTCGTCATTGACCTAGAGACCTAAGAGCTGGCACCAGATGCACTCTGCAAAGAAGGATGGTCGGCTGAGGCAGTGTTATGCTCTGTTCTGCTGGGAAATGTTGGGTCCAATCACGTGGATGTTACTTTGACACGCACCACCTACCTAAAGATTGTTGCAGACCATGTACACCCCTTCATGCCAGTGGGTTTCTGATGGCAGTGGCCATCCTTTCAGCAGGATAAAGCAGCCTTTCACACTGCACAAAATTTGTTCCGGAATGGTTTGAGCAACAAGACAAAGAGCTCAAGGTGTTGCCCTGGCCTCCAAATTCCCCAGATCTCAATTCAATTGAGCATCTACGGGATGTGCTGGACCCAACAAATCCGATCCATTTAGGCCCCACCTCACAACTTGTAGGATTAAAAGGATCTGCTGTTAATGACTTTGTGCCAGAAACCACAGGACTTTCAGAGGTCTTATGCAGTCTGTGCCTCGACGCATGCTGTTTTGGCAACATGAGGGGGATCTACATCATTTTTGGCAGGGGGTTTTAATGTTATGGCTGATCAGTGTATATACACCTTATGTTTTAAAAGGACCATTGGCTCAGCCTCTGATGTTGGGAGAATCTAGTCACACCCTTGCATGACATTAAAGCACCCACCCACTTATCTCTGATCAGACCCTTTAAGATCACTTGTGACATTGTTCAAAACAGGGTTTGGGAGTTACTGTTCATCTAAACCCTGCAGCTATGGACTCAAGATCGTTGTTTGTCTTATTATGGATGTTGCTGTCGTCCACCTCCACTGGAATCAAACTAGATGGAAATGGTTATGTTGACATTGTCATTGCAATCAGTTCAAGAGTACCACAGGATGACACACTCATTGGTAAAATCAAGGTGAATATATACTTTTTTTTTTTTTTTGTCTATTTAAAAAACTTTATGTGCATTAATGGTTTAATGGCTTTTGTGAAAGATAATAGTTTGTCCCAGTTAAAAAAAAATTTAAAATAGAATATTTATAATTTCAAAAACTGTATTTGTGAATGAGCAAATTAAACTATAATTACTTTTTTATAAATGCATACACATTTTGAGTTCTTTTCATTTTATCTTTTCAATTTCATTCTGACAGGATATGGTCACTGAAGGGTCTCTTTATCTTTATGATGCATTGGATAAAAAGGTCTATTTCAAAGAAGCTACAATACTAGTCCCACCTCAGTGGAATAGTAAGGATTTTACCAAAGCAAGAACAGAGTCCTATGGAAAGGTACAGAGAATTATGCCATTTTATATTACCCATCAAATATTTACCTGATATTTATATTTGATATTGCTGACACAAGTTCTTTGTCAAACACAGGCCAAAATAATAATTGATAATGCTAATCCAGCATACGGCGATGAACCCTACACTAATCAGTACGGAGAATGTGGAGCTGAGGGTCAGTACATTCATTTCACCCCAAACTTCCTCCGAGACACTACACTCATTAAGCCATACGGGCCAAAAGGTGAACATCTTTTGTTGTCCTTCAACATTTATTCAGGTTAATTCAGTAATCTGTTTTATTAGCAAGAATGTTTGTTTGTTGCAGGAAGAGTCTTGGTGCATGAATGGGCTCATCTGAGATGGGGCGTTTATGATGAATACAGTGAAGAAAAGCCATTCTACTACTCTAATGGCAATGTTGAAGCTACAAGGTTATAACCTTCAACAAAAAGAAAGCTTTTGATTAAAATCTCATTGGAAATTCTCTCAACCACTGATTTCCTGCTTATCTTTAGGTGTAGCAAAAATATTGACGGTCAGCTTTCTGATGTTACTGCTGGATCTCCATGCCAAACTGATCCACGAACCTCACTACCGTCTAAGGGTTGCAAGTTTTTTCCTAACAAATATCAAAACACACACAGTTCCATAATGTACCTACCTAGCCTGGATTCTGTAAGTATAGATTTTACATGTTCTACAAATGCAAAATTTAACTTTGATAATTCGCAGTCTGTTGCATGCAGTATATAGACGAACTAATCATTCAAAATATCTGGTTTCAGGTCAGCACATTTTGTCGTGAAAATGAGCACAATTATGAAGCCCCAAACTTGCAAAATAAAAAATGTGGCAAAGCAACATGGACTGTGATATTTGAGGATTCTGTGGATAAAGACGCACTTCGTTCTCTAAAACCACTGCAGTCTTCTCCACCGGCACCAGTTTTCAAAGTTGTGCAGCGAATGCATCGGGTTGTTTGTCTCGTACTTGATGTCTCAGGAAGCATGCAAGTATGCAAAAGCATCAACTAAACTTTAAAATAAAAATGCTTAATAATATAACCTTCAGTGCTCTGATATGAGCTTAATCATTATGAAACCCAAGGAAGCATAAAATTGATATCACATGCATGTTTAGTATTATTATTATTATTATTATTATTGCACCCATTTGCTAGGGCTCTAGAATTCTTCGACTGCAACAGGCTGCCACACATTTCCTGCAGAATATCATTGAGGATCAAGCCAATGTTGCAATGGTAACCTTTAGCACTGATGCTTCTACTCTGAGCTCCTTAACTCGTATTGACAGTGACACCACAAGAGAACGTCTCGCCGCTTTGTTGCCAAAAATAGCAAGTGGATCAACATACATGTGTAAAGGCCTCAATCTAGGCTTACAGGTGCTATATTATTTGTACAAGTATCCATGTTTTATTTTTGTATGTTTATATAATGTGTGAAGTATATGCTGTTTGTTATATGCCAATGTTCTGTATGTCTGCAAAATTTAAAGGTACTTAATACGGACAATGGGGATGTGATAGGAGATGAAATAATTTTTCTGACAGATGGTGAAGCCTCAGATGACCTTAATAGTTGTGTTCCGCATGCAATTAATAGTGGCGCCATTATACACACAATTGCTTTGGGTAATAAAGCAGATAAAGCCCTGAGGGAAATGGCTCACAAAACTGGTAAGTAACAGTTACATACTGACTAATAGTGTCCCAAAAAGTACTGTAGGCCTAAGTGGACATTTAGGTCGCAATTAAAATGTATGAATTACATTACTTTAGACTGGTGGTTTTTAAACTGTGGGATGCACAAAGTGTAAGAAAGGTGGTGTTCATGGCATGAGCCATTTTTAAATATTTCACGAGTTTGCACTTACATATAATCCGATTGAGAGAATAGTAAGCAAACTCCTCATAACCCCAAACTGGGATAAGAATAGTTAGGAGTGCGAAGTTGGAAAGGAGGAGGAGCAAGTTGGCTGTATATTTACTATCATGCTAATTAAGTTGATTATCTGAATGTGCTCCGCCCCAAACTTAGTTAATAAAACATAATTTCAATATTTCATGTTTAAATTTGAAAGTTATAAAATTCAGTTAACACATTTGACGGCGGACACGCATTTACATATTTATGACATGACGCACAAGCGTTTCGCAAATCCTCACATACTTCACAGTGCACAAAAATAAAATATTGCAACCCGCGAAGTTTGATTCACCAACAAATAACTCTTATGAACGTGGTTTGAATAAGCTTGATGAATCCTTCACTAAATTAACTTACCGAATCCGACATAGCAGCTAATGAATCAACATGATTCGCTCAACTGACCTGCAAGTTGTAACCTAAATGCATTTTTGTTAGGCCTATTATACTTCTAGATGGATCTTAGCATTAAAAAGTTTGGAACTAACAAATATAAAAGCAAGTGGCAAAGTTAAACAAATTATGCTAGTACAATCTCAGAACTAACTTGAGCCATATGGTATTAGTAACTTTTAACTAATTGATCTCATTGATTTTTTATATTTTGTTTGATATCATTGATATTTCAGTATAAAATGTATACATTTCATAAACAAGTCTACAGTGTTCAAATACCTTAATCATAATCTGAGTATTCAATGCCTGTTTATTATCCAATGTAAATTTCTCATATGTTCTATGTTGGAATTAGGGGGGAAATTTATCACAGCCAGTGATGACATTCTGTCTAATCAGCTACTGAATGGATTTTCCTCACTAACAGTACCAACAGGAGATCCAACAAAAGAACCAGTTCAGGTTTGTAAGTGTTCATTCATTGCCCATGGTAAATTACTTTAAGACTATTATGAATATTCTAATGTTTCATTTTTATCACACGCTTAGATAGACAGTGTGGGAGCAAAAACCTCTGATTGGTTCAATGGGACAGTATCAGTAGATCAGACTGTTGGTACCAAAACCAGCTTTACAATAACCTATGAAACAAGCCTACCTAACATTTACATAACGTCACCAAGCGGCTCAATCTACAATCAAATGCAGATGCGTCATGATGAATCAACAAAAACAGTGACTTTAAAAGTTCCAGGAACTGCACAGGTATGACAAGAACCAGTTCAGGTTTGTAAGTGTTCGTTCATTGCCCATGGTAAATTACTTTAAGACTATTATGAATATTCTAATGTTTAATTTTTATCACACCCTTAGATAGACAGTGTGGGAGCAAAAACCTCTGATTGGTTCAATGGGACAGTATCAGTAGATCAGACTGTTGGTACCAAAACCAGCTTTACAATAACCTATGAAACAAGCCTACCTAACATTTACATAACGTCACCAAGCGGCTCAATCTACAATCAAATGCAGATGCGTCATGATGAATCAACAAAAACAGTGACTTTAAAAGTTCCAGGAACTGCACAGGTATGACAACTTGCTCAAGATTTCATTAACTTTCCTAAAACGTTTCACGAATCATTCATTAAAAATCTGTTTAATAGACTGGGGACTGGAAATACAGTATCAAAAGTCCACAACTTCAGTCTCTGACTGTAACAGTAACGAGTCAAGCGGCACGTGCTGATGTTCCCCCTATAACTGTCAAAGCCCACATGAACCAGAAGTTCAGTGATGGCGCTAAACCCATGACAGTGTTTGCTGAGGTTAGTCAGAATTACAAGCCTGTAATAAATGCTGAAGTGTGGGCTACACTGGAGTCAGATTCTGGACCTGCACAAACATTACAACTCCTGGACAATGGAGCAGGTAAATTACCCATAATTCTTCTTCAAATGGTGCCCTCCACTTCTGAATTGCACTATATAGTCAAAAGTGCTCAAATAAATCCAGTATTATTTTACAGGAGCTGATGCTTTCAAAGATGACGGTGTCTATTCCAGATATTTCACAAAGATGAAAAACGGGAGAAGCAGCTTGAAAGTAAGAGTGAAGAATCGAGATGGACAAGCCAGATTTACTTTCCAAAAACGGGGTGGTGCACCATACGTACCTGGATATGTGGTAAACGGTAACTATGAGCCTCTGAAAGCAAACTACTCAAACATTTCCTTAACCAGTACCTGCAGATGTATTCATGCGGTTCCTCTAATTTCAGGTGTGGTGGAGCTGAACCCTTTAAAACCTCCAGTTTCGTCAGAATCACTTGTAATTGGAAGCTTCACCAGAACAGCCACCGGAGAGAGTTTTGAGGTTGTTCTTAAAAGCACAACCCCACCAAATTTCCCTCCTAACAGAATCACAGATCTGAGTGCTGAGTTCCTGGAGGACACTGTGCTTCTCAGCTGGACAGCACCTGGTGAGGACCTCGACCAAGGGACAGGTAAAGCATACAATTTCAATACAAAATAGAAGTTATTTCAAGCTTAGAGAATAATATGTCTTTCATAGGCCTTACAAGGTGTTTCTTTTCTTTTAAGCTAAATCCTTCAAGATCATGTGGAGCTTTGAACTTAAAATGCTTCGATTCAACTTCAGCAATGCTCATGAAGTCAACATATCCGGCATCTCACCTCAGGAGGCCGGATCAGTTGAACAGCATTCATTCAATCTCAGTTTCCCAATCCAAAATGGCACAACACTCTTCTTTGCGATTCAGTCTGAGGACAAAGAACTTGTAAAATCTGAAATCTCCAACATTGCTCAAGCTTCAAAGATCCTCCCTCATTTAAAACCCACAGAAGTGTTTGAGATAGACCTGAAATTTGTGTTTATTGCAATTGCTGTTTGTTTGGCCACTGTGGTGATTATTGGCATTATTGCGATAACAACATGGGCGTTGACACCAAGAAAACCTTCTTAGACCACAACCAACATTGACATCTGATTCAAAGAAAAAAGAAAATCTTTACATTTACAAAGTTACTTTACTGAGTTGTCTTTATCTGTATACCTTATGCTTAGCAAAAATATAAAATGCAAAATAGAGTTTGGTAAAACTTTAAATTTGTATTGGAATTGTTTGTATTTTCTAATGGCATAATAAAAGTTCCACTGAGATGATGGCAGCTGTTTTGTGTTTTTTTTTGTTTTTTTGTTTTTTTAGCTATTATCATGTGTATAACCTGATTAAAACATTATAAATTACAAATTCTGACCATATTTACTAAAATCTCTGTATCTCTCCCATGATAAATTAATTGAATGAATGTTCTATCCTATTGCTGAGTAGAACACTTGTAAGACATAGATATATAAAAGAGACAAGACAATATTATTATTTTTAGTATAGTAGTACACTGTAAAAAAAAATGTTTTTGATGAAGTAAATAAAACAAAGATTATAAGAGTACATTTTACAAGAAAATGCTATTCCGTATCTTCTACTTTCAAATCTCACATTTAATTCAGTGTTACTTACTGTTTGTAATTGTAATTGTTTGTTAAATTTACCAGCAATTTCTGAGTGAAAATTGTTTTTACATCTTCTACAGTTTCTACATGTAACTACACAGGGGCAGACTTACCCATTAGGCAAAGGTAGGCGACCGCCTTGGGCCCCCAAAAGCCAAGGGCCCCCTAAAATGCTATTCATATAGATGCGCATTAAGCACTGACACGTGAACGGTTGCTGTTTACGGTGTTCATTACCACGACAACCATCCGAGTTGAACGTGCTTTTTTGTGTATCCTGCTTGAAGGAGATGAAAATATCATGCATCTGAAGCTGTAATTAAATATTGAGAAAATGTTTGCATTATTTGTTTATAATTGTTTTAAATGCCGCTTACTCATTAGTAGAGTAGAGGTTAGGGTTATACCCATTCTTATCTGTTTTTGAACTTTTTTTTTCCCACCAAGAAGAAGAGTTTCACCATCTTCCACTTGACAAGTCATGTTTGGTGTCGTTAAGAGTTGCTCAATTAACTACATTTTGTTAAAATAAAATAAGTTATTTAAACAAATTTTATTTCAGTTCTTAAAAAAAAAAAACTAGAATGGGATGTGATTCTGCCCTCTGTCATGAAAGCATACATTTGCTGATCCAAACACAGTTGCTTTGCATGATACAAATTGAAAATAAATAAATAAATTCATGCCCACAGACATATTAGCATATCTATTATGATATGGATGGTGCATTTATTTCCCTTCTGGCTGTATTTAGTTTGTACTTTAGTTCATTTACTGTATGTGTCTGACATACTAGTTATAAGTCGTATACCCATTCTTATCTGTTTTTGAACTTTTTTTTCCCCACCAAGAAGAAGGGTTTCACCATCTTCCACTTGACAAGTCATGTTTGGTGTCGTTAAGAGTTGCTCAATTAATTTGTGAAATTCTGTTAGATGGTTTAACCCTGTAATGTAATGCAGATTTAAACATATCACTTGCTTTGTCTCACACTGCCATGTTTGAGGATCATTATGGGATTGAAGGAAATTCCGTGCATGTCTTTATGGATGGGCTGACTCTGGCAATTTGTTATTTCATGAGGGCCATTTGGGTTCAGTCATTGCATTATATATGAGGACTTTATGGTGTCATTAGATCTCATTATATGATCATTCACTTTTATTGTGCTTTCTGCCATAAATTATATTATATGGCAACTATTCCGTCATGTCTAGATGAGTCTAAATTAAAAAAAAAATGAAACTGCTTGGAAATGACAATAGATTTTCAACCATAAAGTAATTAGACACAATAAACCCCACAGTTAGTAGCATAAGTTATGCAATGAAAACATGATGAGGAGAGTGTGCGCCATTTGCGTACGTGCATAATACTGAAAAGGATAGCACAAATAACTATTCTTTTATCAGTTTCAGATGTTGAAATACATTCAATGAAACGATAAAAATGTTTAATGAATACATTACATTTATTTTATGTATTGTTTTAAAATGTAACAGTGACTTTTAGGGTATTGTTAAAAGCTCAAATACAAGTTGTATTGCAATATGGAAAAGTATTGTCAAGATACAGCCTTTAACATTAAACATTAGAAAATCTTAACACCAAACTAAATTATATGAAAGATTACAATTTAAAATAACTGTTTTCTATTTCAATCAACTTTAAAATGTAATTTATTTCTGTGATGCAAAGCTGAATTTTCAGCATCATTACTCCAGTCTTCAGTGTCACATGATCCTTCAGAAATCATTCTGATATGCGGAGTAACATTTCATATTATTATCAATGCTGAAAAGAGTTGTGCCACTTAATATTTTTGTGGAAATGGTGATGCATTTTCAGAATTCTAAAGAGGGTTTCAAAAGTCAGGATTCTTTGATAAATAGAAAGTTCAAAAGAACATAATTAATTTGAAATAGAAGTCTTTTGTAATATTATACTCACTTTTGGTCAATTTCATGCGTCATTGCAAAATAAAAGCAATTTTTTAAGCTTTTTAATTTTACAGTTGTTTTTGTCGGTTTATGGATTGCAGTATATTACACCACATTCCACTTAATGCAAACTCATGCCTGATGATGTTGAGTTATAATTACTCAATAATGCTTAAGAAACTTTGCAACGGGGAAAAACTGATAAGGACCTGTCAATTGCCACACTTAAGTCCTTTTTTTGTGCGCCAATCACTAAAGAAAGAAAGAAAGACCGAAAGACCGAAAGAAAGAAAGAAAGAAAGAAAGAAAGAAAGAAAGAATGCATTAAGCTGGGACTCCAGAAATAAAGCACACAAACACAACATTCAGAATATGAGCCTATGAATTTCACCTACAAAGTCTTATTTTACAGACAAGAAAATTGAAGAACTTGAATGATACCCAAACACTGGAAAATAACACAACACATTGTTAATTGTATTTAATCAATATGACACAAAACTGACACAAGCAATTGTTTCCTCAATTTATAAAACCTTTTTAACAAGAGTCTTCACAACAGCAGGTCAATTTTAGCAGCTATGAATAAGTTTCCCGAACAACACTTTTAAAAAGTAACAAATTAAAGACAGGTGTAAAACTAAGTGGAGGAGACAGTATAACACAATATTTAAATTAGTGCTGTATTGTCAATTGTTCTAGAATTCTTCCGATTTCCACTTATTGCAAGGCAAAAAGACTATACGAATTGCCAGTTTTAGTCAGTAGGCTTTTTTTTCTTCAATTTCCGCTCCACTTCACACTTAGCCCTAAGAGAACTGCCTGAAGAGGAACTCTGATCTTTTGTCACTAAAACTGGGCACAAAATGAATCTGCAGGATTTCAGAGAAGCCCTCAGACAAACTGGGAGCCACAAACTTTTTCCTACAGAGAACAAGAAAGACAGTCAGAAACCAAAGGGCTTGTGTGAGTTAGCCAGTCAAGATGGTGATTTCCTAGCAAAACTATCTGGTGCATTGAAAAAGCTTAGCTTGCTGCTGTTGACTCACCGGTAGCTGTGAATCACCATGTCATTGACAGGAACATGCTTGGTGGCAGAAGGAACCATCTCACGAAACTAAAACCAGCAAAAACCAGATCAGTTCAATCAGTAACTGTGTTTCCCTTTCAGTCGATCACTCCCGACGTCACGTCGGATGACCGACGAATTGGGATCTCGCTTAGAGAGACCAATCTACTTCGAGTGTAAACTAAACGAGCCAATGCACATTGGCATGTGATTATTGCATCCAGCTGCTGCTGATCACAGCGTGAGTATAAGTAGGCAGCAGATGCAGCGCATATTCAGCTTTTCGCTTCGGAGCCGAGCGGTTCTATCATTCTGCTCCTGACCTTCTACAGTGGTGAAAAACTACAGTCAAGCACGCTCTTCGTGGGCTCTCGTGCTGGTGGTACGGCGCTTCAGCGGCG